TTCGAAATTTCAGCTGCACGGCTGGAGACGCAACCCAAAGTCGTCGGCAGAGCCGCGCAATCTTAGCGAAGTGTTGCCGGGACTGCTTAGTCACCGCGACCGCACCAGAGCTGAAGCTCATGGTTGTGAACTGAATTGTATTGGTGGACATCCAGCATCGTGTCTGGTAGGGGAGTTCTGGCGCTGTGTGGTCGTCATCCATGTTCGTGGCAAAAGAGTCCAAGGCATCTTTCAAGGCCAGAAGTTGTGGGCCGGCCAGCCGGTGCCAGAACTGAAGAATGTTGTTCAGGGCAAACTCACCAATGAGATGCAGGCTGGCAAGTCCATTGGCCAGAGGACTGATCTGGACGACGGTCCCAGGGTCATGGAGTCCCATGAGGACTGCTTCTTCCAAGCGCCGCCACTCAGGCTCAGAGAAGATCATACACAAGTACGAGTTGAAGACTTGTTGCTTGCTCGGCTTCAACAAACTCAACTCGGTGGTCACCTCTCCAACCATCTCAACTGTCGGGCAGCGTTGAGTGAAGTCCTCGATCTCCTGGCAGTTACGGAGAAAGTTCTCGTGGTCTAGCGCCCACTGCACGACCTGCACCGTTCGGATCCGCCCAGCCAGTGTGGCCAGCCGAAGCCAGGCACGAACTCCACCGCGCTTCACCAGCAGTTCCCCCAGCGCTGAGTCACAGCACTTGTCTTCCACCGGGTGGAGCTGCATTCCAGCTGCGATTGCTGGCAACCTACAAGCACGCTTGGCCACCAGATCTTTGGAATCTTGATGAAGGTCACGCGGGACCTCGGACACGGCGAGCTGCATCTGGCCGAGGGGGAGTGTGAACAACCACTTGAAAAGCTCTTGGATGAAGCACCGGTCAATGTGGTCTAAGTTGTCGAGCTCCGTACTGTTAGTCCACGTGAGCTTCAAGTGTGTCAACGGGGAGCCGACTTGCCTCTGCTCATCGAGCGCCTCGCGAAGCAGCATGTAGCCTGCCAAGAAGCCTGCCTGTTGAGTTTCCAGTGGCAGCGTCCGGTTGGAAGATCGACGGCCCGTGGGGTCCATGAATGCTCGAAAGGCAGCCTCGTAGTATCCACGATCATGCAAGTCGCGCAGCTGCACGAGTTCCTCTTGCGAGGGCGCTCGAAAATGCAGTTGCCGGGGCATGGCAACGTGAGCGGTCACAAGATTGCGCAAGAAGTTCCAGCGTGTTCTGCTGGAACTGTGTCTGTGTCTTGAGACCTGGAGTGGTCAACAGCAGTTGAAAGAGACCTTGAATATTCTGTCCTGTCCCTTGACGGGAACGCATTGCTGACCATACACCACACCAGCATCTGCGAGCACGTCTCTCCACGCTTGTATGCAAGCGTCAGGCACTGTGACACGATTACCATATAATCCCGAGTACCTATACCTATTTAAAATCGGACCCCTATTGAAATCATATCAGAAACCCTGGATGATTTTTTGTTTAAATTAGGTTCCAAGAACAACCGCAACTACCCACCTCGCTCACCTCTGTCCGCCCTGTCTATATCCACCATGACAGGCCGTGTTTACACCAGCAGGTTTTTCTTCTCACAATAGCATGGACTCAGGCAAACGCACGTGCCACCGAGGAAAGCTTTAATTGTTAGTTTAATGTAGAATCACTATTCTAATCGTTTGTAGGGGAAAAGGAAGACCTTTCGATCTGATGTTTTTTGAATTTTTGATATGAGTTTAAAATAGAAGGATTTTATATAAAACTTTTCTGAGTGACTTTTGGGTTTTGAAGCTCTTCCCAGGTGACCCTATTTTGGACTCCCCCGATGGCAGGGAACCCCGATTTTTAAAAAAATGCGACCGAAGTTTCCTTATTAGAGGAGGCCTGGCATGTTTTTTAATGGGTGGATAGGATTAATACACCCTCACAAAGCAGAGATCGAATCATGATTCGCCAGCACCTCCGTTCATGATTCGTTACCCCTTCTTTTAGGCTGCCCGCAAGATTGGAAATGCTGGAGATGCCTACGGATAAACAAGCATTTCTGACATAACCACCATATACAGCATTTTCAAAAAGGAGGGATCGAATCATGATTGGCCAGCACCTCCGTTCATGATTCGTTCGTCCCTTTTCCTCCCCATCCTTCGCCAGCCTCGGCGGAGAACCATCCCGCTCTTGCATGGATTAGAAAAAGATTTCTGAGATTTCTGTAGACCTTGACCATGATGACCATGTGTCTCGCTCGTCCCGGCTGGGCAGAAAATGTTCCGCCCCGAACCACCCATCCGTCCGGCGAGCGATGCCGTGACGCCTTTCTCCAAGCCACGGAAGGCCAGGACACCGTCGGCCAGGCCGATGCTTGGCCAGAAGCACCAGGGCATTCTGCAACGACCAGGCCGGAGCCTCCTGGTGTTGACACTGTTGGTGTTGCGGGTGCTCTTCAGGCGCGAAAAGGGAGTTCCAACACCGGGGCGACATGGTGCTGCAAAGATTACACACTTACCTTCACCCTACAGTGCTCCTCTCAAGAATGCGAAGGAATGGCAGGTCCCGTAGATCGTACATACCCCTCTGGAAACCTCCACTTGTTTTGAGAAAGGAGGCTGACATCACGGAATAGTTCTCCAGATTCAAAAAACACATTGGAAACATTTATTGATTGAACATCTATCGATAACTTAAAGGTCAAAAAATTAACTTATCCACAGGATCGCCTCGAACCCCCTACATACCTCAGCACATAATGATTGATCCAAAAACACTATATATATATACCAAGCAAACTAATCCAGCAACTCACGGGTATCCCTGGATTACATACCTGTATAGTTATATAAGGTAGCCTTCCATGCCAAGGATACGTCTGCGGGAGGAAAAAGAAGGATGAGATCATCTTCTGATTCAACCTGTCACCACTGTGCGGATCTTCTTTGGGATGCCTGGGATACAATGTGGGTATCCTTTCGCGTCCCTCAGAACAAACTCCTTTGCTTTTACATGGTTCCGATGCCTTCGTGAAAACGGAAAAGGCCTTGACGTTCAGCAAGTCTGCCATCGGCCGCAAGGACCAGCCCACATCGGCCGCTCGTGGCAGAAGGCAAAGTCCATTAATGTCCTTCTTACCTCATGGTCAAGGAAGTGCGATACTCAACGTAATGCGTGAGGACCCTGGATGGGACCTCATCTGCCGAAAAGAATACCTTCACCCGGCCAACCTCCCAAAGAAAAACACGGTCTGAACTTCCTGTCACCAGCTTTTGACCCGGTCTGGTTTCAAAGGATTTGAAACCCTCAGGACCAGGAAAAATAGTTTGGGGGGATGTCAACCAGCAAAGTATGTTTGTATAACCACCGTCCCTTCGCGCAAAGAGAAACGAGTTTGTGAAGAGAAACGAGTCTGAGCATGTCCTCACTTATTGCGAAAGCCATCGGGAACGTTTCGGCCATTGGGGTGCTCGAGTTGATTAAAAGCGTGAAAATCCGGACAGTTTGGACATGTGCAAGCAGGCATTTGAGTGTTCTGCACAGTTCTAGCAGCACGCGCCGTCGGCGCGGATCGAGGCAGATCAAATCTAGGAAATTGTATGGAAAAAACTTGCAAACTCATGAAAAAAAAAAAACAATATCACTTCGCCCCCATCCCGACCTCCAACACCGCCAACAACATCCAAACAGCCAAAAAACTTCATCCGGCAGCTCTCGAAATCGACACCCTCCACCATCCCAGCCTCAACTGCCAAGGCGCCTGGAGCGCCTTGCCTCACGCGATCGCGCTCGAGATTTGCGCCACCGCCTGGCGACGTACCGGGGTCGGTGGTTCCGGTCGAACTGCTCGGGCGCAACCGGAAAGCAGAGGTCAGTGGGTGCCACTTGGGCACGAGCCAGGAGCGGCAGTGACAACTTAAGAAGTTGCATGAAAACAGGTTGCATTGGCCAGGATTGATCTCAACAAAGACAATCCATATATGAGATCACATTGTGAGGGATGGTCAAGTGACCAAAAACTGATCTGCTTCCCCAAAGGTCGTGGTCAACTCCACCCGCGGATCGACGGCACAGGGGCGTGCTCTTAGACAACTGTCCTGCCCTGTGGATGCCACGAATCTCCCGCGCCTCTGCCAAGCAGCTCTGGCTGGCATCCGCATTCCCGAAGAATGCGCGGAACTCCTCCTCGGTGTTGAAGTGCTTCCTCAGAGCGCTGTGTCAACAGATCAGTGTCACAACGCTCACTCTAGAAGACATGAATGCCTCCAGTAGCTTCTTGCAACGCTACTAGTAGCTTCTTGTACTAGCTTCTTGTTACTAGTAAGAATGCTCCTAGTAGCGATTCCATGAGCCGCCTCGACGAGACGTCGGCCCTAAGAGAAAGCTCTTTCGAAACCCTCACCCACTCGTGTTCGCACCGTTCGGCGCCGTTCGCCAAAGCCATCCCTCTTTCCAACTCTCCCAGGGTCAAGACACCACGGCCTGGGCATAAATTGTTTCTCCGCAACGTGTCTGTAGCCTGATGTTTGAGGCAAGAAGATCTTGACTCCCAAAGCAAGAGCACTCCTCTCCCATGTTTGGGCTAATTATTAACCCTCCACCTAGGATCTCAACCACCACCAACACTAAATGAAATCGGGCCCCGGGTTCAACACCCATCACCCCACGACTGGAACATGAATGAATCGCTCGACGTCAGAGCAAAATTATCAAATGGCTTACACGGGCATCTGAGCTACCTAGAGCAATTCTGGTAGCAAAACTGAGCTGGCGACCTTATGGGCGCAAGCATCCCTCGGCAAGGCCTGGAGCCATTAAGAAAGCAGATTCCTGTCACATCATCTGAAAACAATTTAAAAGCATTCGGTTAGACAAAAGCGTCCGGGCGAGGAAGCTTCTTCTCGACAAAAACAAGTTGACCAACGGAATCGACGTGCCATCCAGCTCCCCTTGCTCATATTAAGGCAAATCTAGCTTTTGGTCAAAGCAAAGTCATCTCCGTTCCGGGAAACCTCATTTGAGGTTACCGCTGCATCATCAGCAATGCTCATCGTCCCGGAAAGGATCGAACAGAGCGTTCAAATGCTTGCACCGGCTCTCCTCAGCACTGTGCAGGACTCGGGCAAGCATCGTCGCTGTCTCAATTTTGCTCTGCACGTCTACATCTCTCTCCGCTATCCCTGACAGCGCTTTACCTGCAAAGTGATGGTAATTGTACTTCACAAAGGCCAAGCCAGCTAACACTGAGTACCACTTGTAAGAAATGTACTGGGACGATGTGGGGAGATAGGTCAACAGGCAAGCCCAGTACCTCTCAACTGGAATTGTCCCAGACTGGACTGGGATGGCGGCTGCCCGGGTCGCCTCAGCAGCTTGCTTCCAAGCAAAAAACCCTTCGACCCGCAATGGTTTCCTCATGCGCTTGAAGTGACCCCGAACTTTGGTGTTGACAGCGCATACTTTGCGCGTCCAAAATGCCTTCTGCCGATCTCGTAGGATGCGCTTCCTAAAAGTAGCCTTGTGGTGCACACAGCGAGACCACCATCGCAAAATGCGTCGGCTCTCAACACGAAATTCTTTCTTACTTCTGTAGTTCCATCTCTGTAAGGTTGGATGAAGGTCATCCTGTTTGCCGAGGACCCGCAGCAGGGTAGAGACGACACATCGGGGAAGCTGTCGGCCATACAGTTCCTGCCACGTAGTCGCTTCTGTGACATAAGGTTGCTGCAAAAAGGCGTGGACTTGCTGGAGAGTGCTCTGCCCGCATTTCTCCTTACCCTTCGCACCATCTGAAATGAGGAGCTGCAATGCTGACCTGGCTTCCTGCAGGGCACATCCAAACATCATTACATTGAAGCGTTGGCATGGATGTGCTATATGTTAGATGGTTCGTGAAAGTTACCACATTGCTAACATGTCCTCCGGCAATTCGCACATGGAGCTTTTGTCACTGGCATAGGACGCATGCGGGGGACTTGGCAAACTCAACCTCTCCATCAAGTCTCGGTGAGCGCTCAGGAAAGCATGGGCGTCAGTTGATTTTGTACTCACCAAACGTCGCAAGGCGAAGCAATCGTGTGCAGGATCACCTGTGATCCTGCGCAGAAATCTGCGTCTTATATGAACAGATTGTTTACTTGAAGAGACACAAAGTCTGCGAGTTAATTGCGGTCACACGCCCAGGAAGCACAAGAACACACGCAACATACAAGGGACTGAGTAACAAGACCACACTTGCTCAATTGTGGACGAGCTGCAAGGTAGGGCAGTACTTCTCTGCTGGCTCTGCTGACTGCGCCTCTGCCTGGGGTGTCTTGGCGGACACCGACAGCTGCGGCTCTGCCAAGGTGGTGTAGAAGGACTGCAATTTGAGTCGATGTTTTCCATAGGTGTCTGTCGCGTGGAAAGCTGGGTATACCGCCTGTCCCGGCAGGCCAGCCCGCTTCCTGTTGCGCGCCAAATCAGGGATCAATTTGGCCAGGTCCTCCTTCAAGACAGGCCATGTCTCGCTTGCCAGGGCAGCAGGCGGGCGGAGCAGAGCCCCATCAACACCACACCACGCATATATGACACTGGGAGGTGTTCCGTCAGCGACGCGAATACGCGCAGCCACTTTGTAGTGACCATCTCCCCGTATTGCTGAGCCACTGTACACATGGACATGTTCTTCAATATGTCGGATTAGTCCAGGCAAGTAAGATAGCAAGGCTTCCCGCAGCATGAAGCGCAAGGAGGACAGGCGTGGAATGGAATCGATGGCCCATAGAGCCCTCTCCGCGTGATTGATGTAGATGGTATTGGCCAGGTAGAGGTCTAATACGAACCGTTTGACCGCGGCGGCGTTGAAGGTCTCCCCGAATTTGCCAATGATAAGTTGCAGGAATCTCTTCGTGAAGAAAACATGGGCTTGCTTCGCGCACTTAGCAACCAAAGTGCCCGGAAAACGATTCTGTATATCATTGATCTTGACAGGAAAGTAGAGCCCGCATGCAAGGCAACGCCATGGCCGAGTATCCAAAACTATGGGCACCGGCAAATCTAGAATGTACCTGCTCGCGTGGCATTTTCTCCGCAGCACCACGATGCCTTTCCTCTGGCCATGCTTTCCACAAGGGCCATGCTGAATTGCGAGCAAAGGCTTGACCCGCGTGGCAGGCTGCACACCTGCAAAATGCACCGTTTCTTGTGCTTCGCACTCCGAGGCTTGACAGGGGTCCACCAAGGGAGGTATAGGTGCACACTGCCCGGTCTCCTCCAGCTCGTGTCCTTGACGTGAACCTGCGACAAAAGGGGAGCCCAGACACACAAAACACAGGAACGCATGGTACCACATAATTTTGGAAAACATCAGGAGCCCTGCATGCCATCAAGACAGGGGGCCCTGCCTTCAGAGTCCACTTGCTCGCTTGCATCCGCGGGGGCATGAACCCTGGACTCCACACGAAACAGCAGCCTTTCCTTCCTGAGGTTCCTTTTTTCCAGCACCAACACCTCCTGGCCCACTCTGCGCAGGGTCTGCTGCGGACAGCTGAAAATTTGCTTCCGGAAAGCTGAGTATGAAGCGCTATCCTCGCCTTGACTAAGGGGCAGAACATCAGTCATGAGTCTTTTCTTTCTGGTGTCTAGCCATGTGCCTACCACGTAGACAGGCTTCCCTTCGTGTTCTGCAAAGAGACCGCTTTGCGGCCGCTGGGGCTCATGCAGTCTGCAAGGCTCATGAAAAAGGTGCATCTGTGCCAAGTGCAGCTGTCGATCCCTGGTCCTGCCAGCAGCCAAACGGTGTGACAAGGGCATGACCGAGCCATTCCGTTGCAAGGGCTGTTCCAGCGTAGCTGCTGGCTCATTGGCATGGCACCGGTTAGCTTGTCTCTGTCTGCTGCTTTTGGGCTTTGACCGTTGCCTGGGGAAATGCCTGCGAGGTCGAAGTTCTGGTTCTGTCCACCCACATGGGCGTTTCCTGGGCAGCCGCTTCGGCCAAGCCCTGGCAGCAGGCCGCACTGTTCGATTCGGCAAAGCCAGTGGCGCTGCAGGCTCCCAACGTTGGCGAGGTATCCATTGAGCACATCCTTTCCGGGCTTCCGCAGGTATCACCCAGGTGGCATCAAGGCCGCTAACGTTTTCGAGAAACCATGCATGGGCTGACTTGAAACCACTTTCCATGACCTCTTGTCGAATTGGCTCCGAGGCCATCTGCTCAGGCGTCAACTGACGAGCTGATGTCAGGCGCGCTGTGCCCACCACTCGCCCTGTCCGTGCCTCGGCAAGGAACACCAAGCCTCTGACGCTGGTGCTATGCGGCTTCACCAGGCAATTCACCTCGCCCTGCAAGAGTCGCTGCGCCCATACCGGCTGCACAAGCAACGCGCGGTCCGGCTGCGACATGCGAGCTGCCGTGTCACCACACCATTTGGCTCAGTTCATTGCTATGGTGCTTCTCTCTGCGCCTTTGATACCGAGCTAGAAGCTGCAGCTTAAGGAACGATCTGCAAGTGAACTAACAAAGTCTGAGGCAGCGACATTGCCCTGTGCTAGAAACATACTACACTGCTATTCTCTTCTTGCAATTTCCTACCCAGCCTGATACGCGTCGGACCGACGCTGCATCTGGCTTGCTGCAGCGCTCCGACCTGCCAAGTTAGAAAGCTGCGGCACGGGAGCTGTCACGTCACCACACCTATATATCTTGGCCAGTTGCAGACCCCCTAGCTTTGCGTAGGACCATCTCGCGCGTTTTGTTGTAGATACTGGAGGAGAACCAAGCAGACGTAGCTAAAGCCGGTCGAGACCCTAGTTTTGAGTTGCAGCTTTTGTCCCCAAGCCTGATGTTCCGTACTGTCCACGCAGTCGTCAAGCACCACTTAACGGAGTGGACAGTTGCATAGCGAAAGGACCACGCATCCGCATGTCACCACAAGGTCAACGGACCCCAAGCACCCGCTAGTCAAGCCTTCATCAGCTCCTCAATACTGAGAGGCCATCGCAATCATCTCTTCAACTTTGGCCACAGCAGCGAGGTGACGGAAACATACAAGACCAAGTCTGAGAGTGATGGGGCGTCCGCCTCCCAACTTGCTCAGAAACATGAAACGGATCAGGGGTGCCACAGTGAGGCCGATCGGTCAATTGCCGGAAATCTTCGGGGTGAGAACACCGTCCACAATTTTGATCACATGGCTCACGGACAGCCTGCACCTCCAGACATTGGTTGCCTGAAGAGGTTCAACGTTTTCTTCACCACGCGTAGGCCCCAAGACTATCCCGAGCAGTCAAAGCAGACGAGCCCTATAAACTCCTGCCACAGGCACCCAGCACAGAGATTGACATTCTTGAGTCCTTTTGGGCGCCTATAGTCCTTGAAGCTGTGAGGGGCTTCCGTGACCAGCATGGGGACATGTCGGCCGCACGGACCCAGAAACTCATGCGGCGACGTCTCAACTTGATCTTGATCCCAAGCAAGTGGCTGCAAGTGTGGACATCATGGATCCCACTTGCATGGATCCGACAGCTGCAAATTTTGGCTGACCTGCGAGATCGCATGGAAGCTCGCGTCCATGGAGGCACGCATGGCGCAGGACTGCGGACCCCAACAGGGCTCCAAGAGGACGGGCAAGAAGAACAAGAGGTCACGCCGATGAAGTGGATCATCACTGCACCATAGTGACCACGGACCTGAGGAACATTTTGCAAAACAAACCAAGGCAGCGCACCAAGAAACGAGTCGTGCCCCGCGAGGAACAAGACACAAAGACCGAACGCAAACATCATGTCCACGCGTTGCTTTCAACAGGCTGGGCTGATCCAGTGGGCCACGGTTGAAGCGCAGCCGAAAGCTGGAGTTGGTGAACATATATGTATCAGCTCTGCTTGGAATATTGCGCTTGCATCCGGTGTCTCGATTGTCGATCGACTCTGGCACTCGTCTCTGCGCCCTTGGTCCGGAGCTAGGGGCTGCAGCCTAACGAACGATCAGCAAGTGAATACCATCAGTGCTAAAAAGATATTCTGGCACTGCTGCAACGGCATGGAAAAATTACTGTAATAGATAATAAACCAGTCACACAATCACACTCATGCTGGAAGCGAACCGCAATTTGTCCTATCTTCTTTTCCATATTCTGCTGCAGTCGCAGATGCACACCAGCAGACTTTCAAAATTTGAACCTCAAAGGCTCAAAGATGCTGGGTGTTGCGCTTGCGGGCCATCCGGAATCATTCCCATGAGAAAACAGGTATCTGCATACGATGCACACATCTATGACGTCATATATGGTGGCTTTCATAGTTGTACCCCGCTGGCCTTCTGCAAGCGCGATAATCTACGCCCTTGGTGACGTGAATGGCATACTGCGGCCCTTCATGCGTCCACACAGGGGAAGTTTTCCATGCCAATCTTCAACTTCCTGACCCACCCGGTCGCCTCATCATTTCCCACAATCTCCGACCAAGGCCTCTTGCGAAAGGTCAAAACTTCGTGTCCACCAACTCCAGCCTTCGGCTGCGCTTCATCCGTGGCCCACTGGATCAACCCAGCCTGCTTCAGCCGCTTGGTAGCTGAAAGCAACAGCTGGACATGGTGTTTGCGCTCGGTCTTTGTGTCTTGTTCTGGGTTCGCTGGGCGCGACTCCTCCCCCTGCTGTTTCTTGGTGCGCTTCCAGCCCCCCAATCGGCTAAGTTTGTTTTTCAAGATTTTCCTCAGGTCCTTGGTCACCACGGTGTCTGATGTGTCTGATGTTGCAGTGATGATCCACTTCATCAGCATGACCTCTTGTTCTTCTTGCCCGTCCTCCTGCGGCCCTGCTGGGGTCCGCAGTTCTCCAACATGCATGCTTCCATGCGAGCTTCGAAACGACTTCGTATGCCGCTGCAGCGCAGCAAAAAATTCCAGCTGTCGGATCCATGAGTGCAGCGCGTACTGCACGTCGATGATATCCACGCTTGCAGCCACTTGGTTGGGATCAAGTTGAGACATCGAAGCCAAGAAGCCCCTCATTTTGTTCACGCAATTTGCCCACCGGAGAATGTCGGTGTCGGCGTACATGAGTTTCTGGGTCCATGCGGCCGAAATGTCCCCATGCTGGTCAAGGAAGTCCCTCACAGCTTCGAGGACTACGCGCACCCACTGGCGAGCGAAAGGGCTCAAGGTAATGATGTCAATCTCTGTGCTGGCGGTCTGCGGCATTCTCGCCGCGAGCCAAGCCATCAAGTCGTGCAGGAGTTTGGAGCTCGCCTGCGTTGACTGCTCGGGAGAGTCTTGGGGCATGTGCGTGGTGAAGACCACGTTGAACCTCTTCACAAAACCAATGTCTGCAGCAGTGCCACCAGTGAGAACCTCCACGGTTGCTGGCACCTGTCCGTGGACCAGGTGATAGAAACTGTAGACGATGTTGTTGTCCCGAAGATTTCCGGTGATCGATCTATCGGCCTCGCTGTGACACCACTTATTGATGTGGTTTTTCTGAGCAAATTGGGATGCGGGCACTCCATCACTCTCAGACTTGGTCTTGTATGTTTCCGTCACCTCGCTACTGGATAGGCCTGTGCGACCAAAGTTGAACAGGTTGTTGCGGTGGCCTCGCAACGTACCAGTGCCGCAAAAACTTTGGCTGGCCTGGGCGTGGGCCGGAATGGCGTCGCCTCCCAAGAGCTCACTTGTGAGGAACTGATGAAGGCTTGACTTACGGGCACTCGGCGGGGCTCCGAAAAAAGCTGGGATGCATGTGGTCCGTTGATGCATCTCTTGGGGTGACATGCGGATGCGTGCCCCTTCGCTATGCAACCACCCAACGTTAGCCATCAGGCCCTGGCACAAAGCCTCTGCGGACCAGCCTTGTTGCTTTGCGACTGTGCGGACAGCATGGAACATCGGGCTTGGGAGCAACAGCCGCAACTCAAACCTGGGATCTTGCCCGACTTCACCTACGTCTGCTTGGTTCTCCTCCACTATCTGCGTCAAAATGCACGAGATGGTCCTATGCAAAGCTTGGGAGTCTTGACAATTGGTAAACAAGTCTGCAGGCTCTAGGATGGCAGACAGCTCTTCGAGAGCTGTGACACCATGGAGGCGGTCTGCCAACGTACTCACCGGATCTGGTCGGCTGTCAGACGCAGCCACTTCACGCAGGCGCAGCTCAAAGTTCAACCGCGCGCTACCTGTGACTGGACTGTTGCCGGTCGGCTGAGTCAGCGGCATGTCATCTTCTGGGCTAGAGCCCTGAGCACTCCTGACAACGTCGCGGTCACGGGCCGGCGGCGTGCCTAGAGCGCCCTCGGCCTCTGGAGTCGCCGGAAGCTCACCTTCCATCGTGCACTGGGGATTGCGGACTCACCGCTATGACTACCTATGTCTCTTGTGTGAGCAGGGGCTGCAAATACAACATGCGTTCTGACCCCATGTCTGCAAAAACAGTCTCTGAACGTGAGCTTTCTACTCCTGACTTGCATCTCGAACTAACATCTGTGCGCTCGGAGGAAAAGCGTAGCAAAGAACCTGCAAAGTGAGCTCTCCCGTGCCAATTCGCATCCTGGCCGGAACTGGACATTCAGTGGTCAGAATTGTAATCCAAAGCCAATCACCTCAATCACCTTTTTGTTACAGAGTTCTGCACTGTATCTTCCTTGGCTCCACAGATTTAATCCGCCCCCATTGTCATGGCTTGTGTACATTTATGTACTACTCTACCCAACCAAGCGGGGAGCAGAAAAAAGGCATTTCCACTTACAAACCTCGAAGCTGGATCTCGCAGGCCTGCAACCTGACTCTCAAAGAATCCAAGCGCTACATAGCACTCAAGCATCTGAGGGAAAGCTCGAAGAACTATGTATTGAGATCTGTTGTCTAGCCGTATATTTTTTCCGATGTATTCTCCTGCCTCCTCTTGGGCAGAACGGGCCATGGCCTGTCCACGACTAAAAAATGTGTGCCTTGAAGAGAGAACTTGCGAGGCTCTAGTGAGAACCCGCGAGCACACCTCGAGTCGCATATAGGTTTCTAGATGTTCGGCCTTTTGCGTAGAGAAAAAGAGTATAAATGCCTGGCCCGCTTTTCCTCCGTAGTTTGTCATTGCGTTCCTCTTGATGAAGGTGGCCAGATTGATCTTTCAATCATACCTCTACCTCATCAGTCTGCACCCCGGCATGAATCTTCTTGTCTCTGGGAAGAGTGAGTGCAGGAGAAGACCAGGTCTGAAGAGTGTCATGTAAAGAAGAAAGAGAGATCTACAGGTCTCAAGAAAAGAAAGCAAGCAATGCGTATATCAGTGGTGCGCCACTCTAAGTAATTGACTGGCGTGCCTACAACACATACTCGGAAGCGCCTACGGAAGGCTGAGCTTTCGCAAAAATACAAATCGATCATGCGAAGGCTTCTTCTGTGTGCCACCCAATAGCTTCTTATTGTTTTGCCCGACCTCTTACTTATTAACTAAGCCTGGATGCATTTAGTAAGGACTGGATGCATTCGCTACATGCTACTAAAAAGCTTGCTCGCTTGCTCGGACGCCAAATAGGTCACGATTCTTGCACGAAGCTCGTTTCTTTGAAGCTGCGTTCGCACTATCTGTTGGACTCATGGATTTTTAGGAAACTTAGTTTTTCATCTAGTAGCTTCTTATTGGCTTGCCTAATAGCTTCTTACCGGGTTTACTTACTTACTTACTTACTTACGTAGAAACTTACTTAATGAGCATAGCGCACTCCCGAAAAGCAGGGATCGAATCATAATTTGCCAGCATCTCCGTTCATGATTCGTTGCCCCTTCTTTTAGGCTGCCCGCAAGATTAGAAATGCTGGAGGTGCCTACGGATAAACAAGCATTTCTGACATAACCTCCATATACTGCATGGTCGCAAAGGAGGGATCGAATCATGATTTGCCAGCAGGTCCGTTCATGATTCGTTGTTCCTTTTTTTCCCTACTTAGAAACCCCGTCTTAACCCCGCGGCGTCGGAAAACAGGACACCCTCCGCGTGAAGAGGTTCAACGTTTTCCGACGGTGTCTGTCGGATGGCCTCAAAGGAATCCCGCTGCTGTCTGCGGCCCGACGCTTCGCCCACCTTCCACCCGGAGCCGGGAGCGGTAGAGCTCCACGAGGAGCGCCACTGGGTAGGTGCTGTAGTACTCGCTCGAGAGCCTGGAGTTCGGCAAGCGGACAGTCGCGTCGGAAACCGCATGGCTCTTCAATGCATGAAGTCAAGTTTCGACAACCTCGTCCATCCAAGCCCTGATGTCACAGTGAATGCGCCAGTATCAAAAAGATGTTTAAAGGAAGTCAACCTCTGTCAGACGATGCAAAGACTACTTACTCCCTTCAATGGCAGGCAGGTACTTTAACCAACCCATTCAGATGGAAATGGTTACAATTCTTCGCAACAAAAGGCAACATCAAAGCTTCAAATCCTGGATATGCAATGGTTTGCGTGTGACCTATGTCATGTCAGACAACTATGTCTCCAATTCTATCTGCGTCCAATCTGCCCTCACAGGTACCTCTGCAAGCATCCTTGGAGACTCGGGATGCCACTGTCGTTCCGCGGGAGATCTGGAAAGGGATGTGGAGATGTGGACATGTCAGGAACTCAAACAATCTCCAAAAGTTCAAAAAAATCATCAAGTCATCTGCTTCATCGAGTCACCTACAAATCGATCAATGAAACATCAGCTTCCTGCTTAGTCCTGCGAAAATGGATGAAATATATGATGAGCATTCGAAAGTGGAGTTCTGGACGCAGCGAGCGCGCAAGCATGGGCGAGGCACCTAGGACATCTGGCTGCTTGGATCTCGAAGAAGTTCCTGCACGTAAGCCTCACATGGATCGATCTGGAAAGCTGCAACACTTGACTTTCAGAGCAGCTTCAACCTCTAGCCCTGGACATGCTCAGTCGAGCAGGAAAGCCAATATTGAAACCCTCGTCGCCCAGCACGCCTGGCTTCCCATCAGCTTGAACTAAAAGCACTACGCAACCAGCCAGAAGCCACCGAGGATACATAGGCTTAACCTCAATGACATACGAAACTCATTGGGTAACCTCAATGGGGGACCACCGGCCACCACTGACCGCCCCTCAAGAATCAAAAACGTATCGAAACGCAGTTTGGAATCCTTCTCGAAAGCAGAAAAAAGGCAATCCACGGAAAAGGTCACTTTTCAGTCGTTGAGATTCTCTTGAGTGATTGAGTTCCATTGGCCAGGGCACTGCCCAACAAAAATCCGAGCTCGCCGTTTGCGCACATGGCTCTTTGTTGGCAGCTGAGTGTATCTAACCTTGCGGAATCGTTACATACACACAAGTCCTGATGACCTCTCAAAGTCTTACTTGAGGATATGTTCTGCGGGAACCTGCGTAAATTTGGTGCGGTAGACTTGCTTTGCGGGACCGAATCTTTCATCCGTGGCTGCGCCAAAGCCATGAATTCTTTGGGTCAAGAGTGCCAATCCAAGTTCTCATACAGCTAAGCAGGACTGTGATGACAACCTGGCTCAAAAGGCAGCACAGAGCAGCACACCCAAAGTCAGCCAGCTCAACTATCCAGCTACGTGCTGTGTTCATTACATCGTTAGGATTCTCGAACCTTGAAGCGTACCACCAACAAAGTGAACAAAAGCCAAAAGCGTCACTTGACAGCCACTTGACACCCACGTGCAACCAGAAAGCTCG